GTTCTTATGGCATACTTGATTACGCCAAGGAGAAAGTAACCAATATAGCAAGTATACTGTTTACTGTGCAATCCTGAGGATGTCAAGTAAGAACCCAGCATCCATGTGAAGTCTGGGCAGTGTGACATGCATTGCAAACCTAGGCTGGGGAGGCTAAGACAGGTGGATCCTGAGGGCTTGCTGGGCAGCCTTCTACCCAAAAGGGTGAGGCCAGTTTCTCTAAAAGACTCTGTCTCAAAAGAAGATGAAGAGCAATATAGAAAGGAACCAGCTCCAAACATCTGGCCTCCATGTACTAATGCAGAGACAAGTGTACCTCCACACACACATGCATACAGAAACACATGCATGTACATGCGTGCACACAAACACAGAGAAAGAATTTACCACTACTCAACACAAAGTCTTAAATCTGACCTATAATAGTTTGGATTTTGTCCAAACTAGAATCTCAAATCAAGCCCCAGCAGGATGGCTCTATAGCTTAAGGCACTTGTTGGCAGACCTAAAAATTAGGGTTCCATCCCTGAGACTGAAATTATGAAGAAAGAGTACCAAGCCCCTCATGTTGTGCTCCACATATGTGCTGTGGCATCCATATACAAAATTAATAATAAAATTATTTATTAATTAATAAGACCTTAATAAAAGTATCCTCAAAACAAGAAAGTAGCTTCAGGATCCACTGTTAATAGTGGGGAGAGACTACTCCACAGTTTTGCAAACACTAGGACACTGCCTGAAGTTAGAGGAAATTACACTTCTTAAAAGTTTAACTTAAAGTTAGTGCTCACCAAAGCGTAATGAGTGCCTACTTCATGTTCCAGAAAGATAAACTATCAAAGGCCTATAGAGATGTCTTTTTAATACATACAATACTCCAGATGTCAATGAGAGATACTTGGAAGGCTAAACAGGAAAATCCTTTATTTATGGAAAACAGGATAAAATAAAACTAAAATTAATCACCTTGCATTGTTCTGAACGAGAACTGAATGACTTATCCAATCACCATGAACAGCAAATAGGACTTCTCAAGAGTGCACTAGTGACCTGCTGTTTCTAGAATTTACTACCACCACCACTACTGCTGCTGCTACTACTACTATTACGTCTACTACAACTACTCAACACAAAGTCTTAAATCTGAACTATAATATCTTGAGTTTTGTCCAAACTAAAAACCTCAAATCAAGCCCCAGCGGGATGGTTCTATAGCTTAAGGCTTAAATTCAAAGACCTAGGATTTCCCACATACAAAAAAAGTAATTCTGAATATTCTTGTGTATGACATTTTTGGGGCACAGGGATCCTATTTGAAACAGACTAAATATTAAGCTGTCACCAATCCCAAACAAGCTAGTCTGCCTTAAACCAGAAATTCCTGGTCACAGATGCAGGACTTTTTACATGGGTCAGGGAGAAAAAGACAAGCTAGCACGTAAAAATAAAATGAAACTGAGCAAACTTTCACTAAGTATCTGGCACCATTCCACTTGTGTGACAGTTTAAATTTAAGGACAAACACCTTCTATCTGATCTTTTAAACTTCAGAGGTCAGGGTCCAAAATCAAGAGATGGGGGATGGTGGAGGGAGAGGGTTAAGTGAGGAGAGAAAAAGGTGTGAGAAACACACACACACAAGCAAAAACCTAGGGAGCTATTAAAGGCATTACTTATTCAAAATCCATGTGCCATGGAGCCGCAGCTCACATAAGAAGAAGCAACCATGTGTCCACATTTCTCAAGCTTTGTCCTGTGACAGTAAAAAACTGATCAACAGCTGCCTTGTTTTTCTTCTAACAAGGACATGGATTCCTCAGTTAAAGTCACCTAAAGCTCAGGGAAATCATTCAATAGATGAGATTTGCCAAATATCCCAGAATTTCATATGGCCTTAAGATGAAATATGAAGGATCAAAACATCCCCAAATTCACGGTGTTCCAGATATAATCATCTAAACAACCTACCTTTATGAAGACAAGTGTAGGAGGTCTGACAAACAGACAAGGTTTGGAAATTGTTTCCGGGGGTCTCCTGATAGATCTACATTGTCCCTTAACCAATACCAATGTTGTACTGAAATTTTAAACCCTGATTATTTTCAAATTCTTAAAAAATATATAAATTTTTTACATTTAACTTTTTATAAATGTATATGTAATTGTATGTTGGACTTAGCTTTTTGTAGATATGAAGACGCTTCCCAATTAAGAATAGGGCTTTCTGATAAATTATTAGTACACTTCCAAACTTTGTCTTAAGTAGGGGCTTATTAATGTGCAGTGAGGCCTCTGTTTTTCATGTGACATATTTCAATAGTGGTGAATTTCACGATTCTCAGACCCAGGAAAGGCGGGGAAAGGTGACTTGGGAACTCAGGGGACATTTGGCAATGTCTGAAAACATTTGGTGTTGTCATGACTGGGCAGTATTATCTGCAGCTAGTGAGGCAGACGCCAGGGAGGTTGCTAAACATACAGTTCTTGGGACAAGCACAAGATGATCTGGCTGAATATGCCAATAATGTGGAAGTTGAGCAAGCCTTCTCAAACCCGAGTGCTTTAAATATCAAGAAGTTGTTTCCATGAATAACCAACTCCATGCACAGCCACGGAGTAAAGCTGTATGTGAGCGATACAGGCCACTAGAAGATATACTTGTGAACTGAGAAGAAAACTTTAGAGGAAAACTGATTTTGTTCATAGAAGCATTCACAAACCCATTAAAATAAGCCAGAAAGAGACCTTTTTTACAGTGTAATGAGAAAATGAAGGAACAAACTCCTTCTCACAAATACTAATCTATGATCAAGTTGTACTCCCCCATTATTTTTATATGACATGGAAAACTCAGTCTTACTAGAAGACATGGTACACAATAACAGCTAGAAAAAGACAGCCTGAGCATTGAGTTTATATGAAATTTAATATCCCCTTCCTTATAATGGAGTACGTTTTTGAGGCTCGTTGAAGGGTCATCCAGCATGCTGGAAGATGCTGGTGTGGGCTCGTCCATTTAGCTATAACATCTTTACTTTTTTTCTTTATCAGTTTAGCATGAATAAGACCATCTTTGCTGTAGGAATCATGGCTGATTTAATCCCCTTGAGGATAATGGTGGCTGCCATGGTCTAAGAATATTCTAATAAGATCATCAAAATCATTTTTATAGAAATCTTTTTAAAAACTTGAATTAAAATAACGAGCCAGGCAAGAATGTATTTAATATAAGAATGTCACCAAGTCCCAATCCATGGTAGAGGGATATATTCAGTAAGTCAACAAATGAGTCTTCTGCCATTGAATTCTTCATGGTATACACCAAATCTGGACAGGTTCTGCTTTTAGCATAGGCTTCAGGGACATCTTTTATAAATACCTATAATTTTACAAATGAATCTATAACTGTAAGTGTCCAATAAAAGACATTAGATTTACCTCTCGATAGCCTCCTGTCTCCACTGCCTGAAAACTCAGCAATTATTTGCAACAGTTCTTTCAACTGTCCTAAAGAGGACATTGGGAATGTGAAGGTATCCCAAAGACTTGGAAGAGATAAAGCCCCAGGGTCAGATGTTCCGGCCACCACGCTCACTGCAGCCGTGATTTTTTTCTTCTCAAGAAAGAGTTTACAACTTTGAGGAAATGTAAGCTTTATGAAAGATTAGTTGGATGTAATCTATCTCTTCCAGATCCGGTAATCAACATCATGGCCTCCCCTTCAAACTCCTGCCTTACAGGGGCAGCGTCTAGACCCTATCAGATTCTCAGAAAGTCCGAATGAATGCAGGAGTGCGAAATGCCGAGAAAACAGTAAGTGTGAGGCCTACAAAGGACAAGTATAATTCAGGGGGACGGGGAGGCTTGAGAAACAGGACTTTATGAGGGAGAGGAGAAGTCTCCAGGACCTGGGATTCAATCCTGTGACATTCTGCACTACTGCCACACTGACCCACACACTGCAGTGACAGAAGATACACTTTAAATAAAACTTTAAATAAAACTTCAACATACAGAGTTTTGCCTTCAAAATACGTTCCCCTGTCAGTTCCCAGGTTGTTTGGTTGTTTTGTAACTTTTATTACTCCCCGAATAGCATTTCTAAAGAAACCTTCAGATCGAATTCCTACACGAGATTTGATTTGTGTGGCAGGCTCTAAAGTCTGCGGTCCACAGCAATGTCTGCTCTTTGGTTCTACCTCTTGGGCTCTGGGCAAGCTGCAAGCATCATTCCATATCTATATTCACCAAATACCTGCAGGCAAATTTTAAGGGTGCCAGATGGCAAACTATGCCAACTCCTCCCTACTGAAGCTCTTGAGAGAATGGTCCGCAGGCTCATTCACGTACCATGACGTGGTTTTATGCTTCTGTTTATGCTCCTCCTATGATGGTATTACAGATCTGTCTGCACGGTAATAATTCCAGCAATCTTTGTACAGAATCCTGACTCAAGGGAAAATCCAAGGCTGAAGTTTGGAGGTAGAAGAGCAAACCTCTCCTCGGATGGCACAAACTCCTAAAACAACTCACATAACCAACTCTGGAAAAAAAAAAAAAAAACAAACCAGAAGGGCTCTTGGAGCCCATCATCTGCCAATAAGGTGCGCTTGGCTCTTAGCCTCACAATTCAGCAACCATGCTTGCTGTGAGTTAGGGACCAAGTAAAAGTTAGGAATTAACACCTCATTCTCTCAGGATAGCTCTGTGGAGCAGGTGCCACAACTCTAACCCAACCAGCGGATGCATGAAGACTTTCCTAATGCTTGCTGCCTTGCACCTCCAGACCTTCTTTCAGTACACACACCTCTCCGACCAATCCGCCTGCCCTTAAGCATCCCGGTTGGAATTGCTAGCCAAGTGGCCCGGGAGGTCTGCTTTGCCCGGCTTCACCGAGCCAGGAGATGACTCATCGAGCCGGTTCCCCGGGCTCCTTGGGGCTCTGGCAAGCAACTGGAGAGGTGCCCTCCCTCCCCGCAGGCCCGGCGGGTCGGGGCGGGGCTCGGCCAGCCAAGGCTGGGATCGGGAACCGGCAGCGGGAAGCGGCCGCCGCCCGGGCAGCCCGAGGCTAGGCAGGGCGAAGCCAGGCGGGGCGGGGCTGGGCGCCACGGGAAGGGGAGGCCGGGCTGCCTTGGGACCGACCGACCCGAGCCACTCTCGCAACGCCAGCCACGATGGGGCTGGAGACCGAGAAGGCTGATGTGCAGCTCTTCATGGCCGATGACGCCTACAGCCACCACAGTGGCGTCGACTACGCAGATCCCGAGAAGTATGTTGACTCCAGTCACGACCGGGATCCTCACCAGCTCAACTCGCATCTCAAGGTGAGTTTCAAGCTGGGCTATCAATCACCTGGGCTGGACGCTGCTGCAGGAGGATGACTCTTCAACTTCTCCCCAGTAGTGGGAGTTGGTCCCATTGCTCCGGCTAGTCCCATTGGCACTCTGCCCTGGTCCCACAGCCTTCAGGCTCCCCGCACAGCCAGGAATGTGTGTCCAATTCCTGTGTGCCCACTGTCACTCTAAAAAAAAAAGCTGGGGATAGTCTAGCCTGGTCGCCTTTCCTTCTGACTTACCCTGTTTAGAGTGCTTCTGCCACCGCCCCTTACTCCGTCCTCACTCCACCCCCACCCTACTCCTGACAGGTTGGATGAGAGCATGAGTCCTTGCATCTTGTCTCTCTGCAGCTAGGCTTCGAGGATCTGATTGCAGAGCCTGAGACTACACATTCCTTTGACAAAGTGTGGATCTGCAGCCATGCCCTCTTTGAAATCAGCAAATACGTGATCTACAAGTTCCTGACGGTGTTTCTGGCCATCCCCTTGGCCTTCATTGCGGGTATCCTGTTTGCTACCCTCAGCTGTCTGCACATCTGGTGAGAAGGGACACACGGGGTGAATCTGCTTTCTGAAGCTTACAGAAGTTTTTGCCACCTGCCCTCTCCTTTTCCTATCTTTCCAGGCCGGTTTGCAGAAAGAACACTTACATTAGTTCCCAAGGGTAACAAAGACCTGAGAAATCTTGAAGGGCAGTGTGCTTTCTTTAGAATAATAGTCCCGGCTGAGAGTTTAAACATAAGGAAACAGGGGCCTCTTTCCTGGGTGTGATTTTTCCTTCCATGCAGAAGACTGAGCTGAGTGCGGAGGTGGGGGCTGGAAGGCCGCTTCCTGTCATAGGCTGCTCTCTCTAGGGCCTGTTGTGACTTGTGCCTGTGGTTCTGGGCAGGTCCTTTCCTCCTTTCATTGACTTTTATTCAGTCACCATCTGTGCTTGGGAAAAACAAACGTGCTCTCCGAGCAAAACAGAGCTTTTCTGACCCATGGAGAAGGGCAGGTTTTAGTAAACACTGCTGTGAACTGGGCCACTCAAGTCTTGCTATTGGTAAAAGGCAGCAATGAATCCAGAGGAGATGGGAGGTCTTTACAATGATGGGTTGCACACCTACCTTGAAAGAATAAAATCTCAAGCTATGAAACAAGGAAATAGGCCATTACATTATTGTTTCACCTACGAAGCAGATACGAAAATGCCATCTAGTTACAAGCAAAGAAATATGGAAACCAATGAAAGTTGATGGGATGTCTATAAAGTTATTCACCTTCAAAAAGTACCATGAGGTTTATAGATCATTTTTAAGCACTCAAACTTTTCTTAAGGGAAACAGCACGTTCCTCCAAGAAATTCTTTTGTGTTAAAGGTTATCCACTTTGTTCAAGGAATCATCCCCAGTGACACGATAGTTCTCAAGATAGTACCTCAAGGTGGTCCTGGTGACATGTGTAACCCTAGATACCACTGTTTAGTTTTTCACTTTATGGGGCATTGCCACACCCCAATGCAGTCTCAGTGTTCAAGAGTTACCCAATTCGCTCCTTCTTTTGGTCTCTAGTTACACTTCGCTGTGTTAGCTAGCTAGTTCTGCATGTCACGCCTATTAGCTGCTCAGTTTTGCTGGGCGAGGACACTCACCTTTCTTCAGCTAGCCCATCACCTGGGAGGGGAAATCTAGAAACAAATGCAAATGGTGAGAATATGTTGAACTCCAATGGAGAAGCTGAGAAACAATGGTAACTTTGTGAGGGAAAGGAATCTGAAGACTAAAAGAAGTCTTTTGGAAGATAAATATAAATTCAGATGACGAAAGGATAAACAAAGAACACCAATTCAATTGCTTGAGGCTATAAGCAGCCGTGTCGAAAGGGCCAAAAGATTGCCAGAGATGTGAAACTCTTTGCTTTTGTGTATATGCAGGTCCGCACAAGCATGTTCTATAGTTCTATAGTTATATAGTTATTGCATATCGGACATTCCCACGCATGTGATTTTTTTTTACGTGTCTAAATCAACATACAAAACTGGACATTCTCAACTTACTAAACTTGCCAACCGAACAACTAAATTTGTTATTTTTTTTTACTTTCAAAAAATAGAAGAAAAAGGACCCATAACATTTTGTGACATGCTGGCTTTGATGTTCTCTGTAAATACACAATGGAGGTTTCTTGACAACATTAGGTCTTCTCACAGCTTTGGGGGAAGAATTGAAAAAAGGCAAGTTCTCATTTGCTAAATAGTGGAGAGATATTAACAGTATGAGCTAATTGATGGTTCGCTCCACCTGTCTTCCCTGGGAGTGGGAGGACTTCATGCCTGGCTTCCACTGGTGAACCATCATGCCACTTCACTTTTAGACACAGAATATGTATTATTTAACTTCAGCTCCTTTCTCAAATTATATTCATGTCAGACATTAATATTTAACTGTTACATGCTTATCATCGGGTAGCTATGAGTCGGTGTTTAAATGTTACATTTTACCTTCATGAAACAGTAATCATCAACGAATTACATGCCCCTAACATATAAGCTGGATCAGCTGGAAGGTTTACAGAAGAGTAGACTTCCCTGAGCAAGCTTGGCTTTTTGTTTTTGTATTTTACTGTTCAGGTGTTTATTTTATATTTTTTAAACAGGGATTGCTCATTGTTTAGCCACAGTTGAGAAAACGAAAGGGGCTTTTAACCAAGTCACAGTGTCACCACACACCTGATTTTAAATGTTTCGTTTTGGTTGTTGTTATTGTTGGGACAGGGGTTATTTGGTTTATTAGTTGTTTTGTATATTTATGAACACAGAGCTCACTATGCTGCCCAGGTTGGCCTTGAACTCCTGGGCTCAGGCAGTCCTTGTGCCTCAGTCTCTCCAATAGTTAGAACTACAGCTAGACATCACAACAGGTAGATACCAGATTCTTCAGCTAAATAAATAACAAAAACTAAATTATAAACATCTGGGTATATTGGACCTTCAGCCAAATGTTTGGCTCATTAGGACTGGTGAGTTGATCTTATTTGATGCTTTGGTCAGATCCTCTTACCATTTGGCAAGGAAGTTTTGTTGTAAGTGACTGTATCATAACTGAAGAAATGTCACGGGGGAATCTATACTCTCATTTTTTTTCTAGAATGCTATGAAAATAGATATCAGGTTACTGGAAATATACTGCTCAGTTTCTCGTTTCCAATACAGCACATTTCTGAGACAACCCAGGCTTCAAGACACTGTAGTTATAAAAACAAATAATAATCCCTGACCCCAAGCTAGTTGTCCAGTAGCAGCACAGAGGACTGTAGATTAGCCAGTTCACATGAGAAGCATTTGGTTGGTTATGTTGAGCCTCAACACAGTTATCATCAGTCTACACTGTGTGCAGACTTAGGAGAGAAGTGATTCACAATGTTAAGAGCATAACTCAAATTCTATATCCAAGGACTGTTGAACTCTCTGGTAATAAAAGAATAACTTGCAGAAAATGAAATATGCTCACCGCATCCAGTGAACTGAAATCTTCAAACATGGGCAATTGGATTTCAGGGAATCACAAAATGCTCAAGTGCCTTTTACAGCCCAGACATATAAGGGGTTATGGAAAGCAAAAAAGATTAGCCTAAGGAGAGGTAGGGTACAATTTATTCAGTGTGAAGTGGATTTGACTAACGAACTTTCAGACATAAACTTCAGATGTCTATTAATTTGGGGTTATTTTGTTAATATTTTCATTATGTATTCTGATTTCAAAATAGGTCTAGTGGTTATTATTTATTAGATGACAGTATCATGTGACATCTCAGGAACATGTAATAAAGCTTAGGCCCATAACTGGCTCTGTAAGATTTCCGGTCTCTTGTTAATTTGTGGCAGCCTGTGGAAGTGACATCATGTGAGAAGCATGCAGAATAAGAAATGAAGTGTTGCTATCACTCAACTTTTAGTCAGCTGTTTAGTTCTAAATATCCATAATTAATATTCTTACAAAATAAATTGTTTCAAATATTTAGCAGTTGAAACAAAACATAACTATGTAAATGAACAGCATGAATAATTCAAGTACTCTAAAAACATATTAATCAAATACACAGTTGTTGATCCTTTGGGTTAAAATCAAAAATCAGATTTTAGTTTTTTGTTTCTGTTTGTTTGTTTTTGATACAGGGTTTCTCTGTGTAGCCCTGGCTGTCCTGGAACTCACTCTGTAGACCAGGCTGGCCTCAAATTCAGAAATCCACCTGCCTCTGCCTCCCAAGTGCTGGGATTAAAGGTGTGCACCACCACTGCCCAGCAATAGTCAGAGTTTAAAAACAAACCAAAAATATTAACCTTACCCCCAACTCTCCACCAAGTAACGACTCCATCAAGATCTCTGGCAGAATTTACAATTCACAAACACATTTTTTCTTCTCAAAGGGAACATTGTTTAGGGGATTACACAAAAACTTCACCTGGGTAATTGAAGAATATTAAGCTATCCTAGTACAAGCACGTGGGAAAAAGAAAAGGTATACAAACACGTGGGACTAAACATTCTCTATTTTAACTAGAGTATACAGGCCTTCTTGATAAGTGTAATTACTATGGAGAATAATAATATGCAGTCGTTAACGTTGTGAATGGTGACAACAATATGAAGCTGGACAGAATACTAAATTCATTTCCACACCAATCTTAATGAAAGAGAAACTTCTGCATATAATCTAGAAGGGAAGACAGAAATATAACTATCTACTCACCAAGCTTTTTTGATAAATTTGAAAATCGCTAGGTTTGTTTCAGCACATTAGAAATGCCGCGAGGTTGCTATCAACCAGACTGGCTAAGAGGATAGGCAAAGCGAGAGACCACAGGAAAGGCAGGCAGGAAGTAGAACCTCGGAGAAACAGGAAGTGCTAGCCTGTTAATGTTTAGGGGCAGAGATCTGGCAGAGAAATAAACCACTTTGTTTATTTTTGTTTTACCGTTTCCACCAGTGTTCAACCAGCAAAAACAATATTAACATTTATTATCCATGTGCCTGTTTATCTTTTAAACAGCGTGCCTTCTTACCACTCTGGCCACTGTCATTTTTGTATTGTGAACTGTTGAACCACGTTCGAGTTGAGTCATTATTATAGCTGTTTACACGTGTGTGTCAGTCCCCTTACTTGGTAACACAAATTGTTAGTGGTAACATTAACAATGCTTATATCGCCCTCTTCCAGGATCCTAATGCCTTTTGTGAAGACCTGCCTCATGGTCCTGCCTTCCGTGCAGACAATATGGAAGAGTGTAACAGACGTTGTCATTGGCCCATTGTGTACAAGTGTTGGACGCACCTTCTCATCTGTCAGCATACAACTGAGCCATGACTGACCACTCAGACCCCAGGTCCAAACATTTGGATACTGTACAACTTTGTTGATGTAACGCGAAAGCACTACTGTTCTGCTCACTTCCCAACTCTTATAATTATTCTTAAGATGGGTTTATCGATGTTGGCTGACAGATCTTTACAAATAATGATTTCCCCACTAAAAGCCAAGGATTCTATATCTAATTCTATGTCTTGTATAACAAGAATCAGCAACACGCAATGTAAGAACAGATAGCTTTTCACTTTAGGAAGAAACATACACTTGTAGTGATGACTTGATAGTCAAGGACAACTTCCTCAGACATTAGAGTAATTTTGTGCCTAACTGCCCATAAAATAAGGTATTTCTTATTTTCTATTACTTTAGGAGTAGTGCTCTTAAAGCTACTTTTCCAGACATGTTCATAAGGCTAGCTAGGGGCAATATATTCCAAGATTCTAGAAACTGTGTGCATAGACTTATGATACAAAAGCACATACTTATGGTAATAACTATCAAATATAATAAGGCAGAAAAATGTGAAAATGTGTTCCTCTGCAATATTATTAGCCTGCCAGCCTATTTAACAAGATGCTTCATGTTGCTGTATATTTTATACCTAATGCAAGTGTTACTCTAATGCAGTATCTTTGGAGTGTGTTTTTTCTTGTGTTTGCCGTCTTATTGATCTCATATATAAAGTAAGCATAGCTACCACAGGGTAACTTTCTTGGTAAGACTGTGATCTTATATATGAGAGTTCTTACAGCTTCTTTGGAATACAGTGTAAAATGTGCTGTCTCGGTGTCCTTTCCGACTTTCCCAGCAAACGTTTTATGACTGGGGTTCGTCTCTCTGTGACCATAAGACGTCCAGTTGTTTTCTTCACTAGAAGTTTTCTCCCCTATAGTTAGAAACTTAATCTGTATTCTACATTCCTGTGAATGCTTCACTTACTTTCAAGTAATTCTGGTGCTAGTTAATAATATTTTTATGATAAAGGCTATGCCTAACATCTAAGCACATTTTTTTACTACAGTGGCTCATGTAGAGAACTTACAGGAGAATTAACAATTGTGAGGGTTTATAAAATTACTTACACGTGTAAATTAAAAACTAACAGTTACAAATTTTCAAGATGTTCTCTGGTATGAATCTTGTAACCCATAAAACAGTATTTCCTTTTTCAATTCTAGACCTATTTTAGCACTTACTCAGTATGGCCTTTTAAAAATTTGTATATAAATGCTTTCTATGCTATAATTACATAATTTTTCAAACTTCAGAATTATTATAAAACCTAAATGAGCTCATGGGTGTCAAAGCAACTGAGTAAAGTTAATTATCTTGAAATTTTCAATTCTGGTCAGAATTATTGGTGATTGAACTGGAATTCTATTGCAGACCAGATCAAAATATCATATCAAGAGACTAAGTTATAAAATTTATATAAATTTGATGGTAATCATAAAAGAAACATTTCAAAACTCCTTAGGGTATTGTACCATCTGCAGAAAAAGAAGTGACAGCAATGCTGGTAATAGCCACAAAGCATTGTCATTAATGTGACTCTGAAGATTGTATCATATTAGTCTCCAAGATCAGTCTCATGGCTTTATATTACTTTTTGTTATTTAAATTTTAAACACCTGGATATATTGATTAGTCAAAACTTTAACAATAAGATATCAGTTTAATAAATTATAAGCTTCAACCTTTTTAAATAGTTCTGACAGATTTTAAAGACAAATATGTGTAATTATAGATAAAAACCTTTAATTTCTAATATATATGATTTCTTTTTTCTGAATATCGATTACTTTCAAGTGAACTTTTATTGAAACTTTTCTTGAATTATCTTGTCTCAAAAACTGAAATTATGAATAAAAGGAATTAAAGTTGAATATGTAAATATGTTGGTTCTTCTTTGGGGGGACAGTTGGAAGTCAGAGGCAAAGAAATTCCCTCATTATCTATAATAAACATCTTTAGAAACAGTAGATGACTTCATTGATTTTATTATAGTTTGTCTTTCTGCTGTTTATTTCATACACCTGGAACTCAAGAGCAAGGACCTTTTCAAATAAAGTGTATTAAAACCTCAAATAACAAGTATAGGAATTGCTGTTCCAAGATCCATCTGTGAGGATGAGGAGATGGGTAAATGGTTACTGTACTTCCCATGCAGGCATAAGGATTAGAGTTTGGAATCCCAGAACCCAGATAGAAACCATGTAACCTTGCCAGTCTATCTTTGGCTCTATCGCTACAAAGACAGAGATGAGATCTCCAGAGCCAGCTGCCAGACTAGTCATATCCATGACCTGTGACGTCAACTGAGAAATCCCGTTTCAGAAAACAAGGTGAATAGTGATAGAAGACTTCCAATATCAAATCTCAGGCCCTGCATGCATACAGATGCGTGCACAACCACATACCCAAGTGTGTGCACACATGAGAGAATGTGAAGACACACACCGCAAATGCACATAAGGAAAAAGAATGTTGTCCTTAAGAATGATGAGACTGACTATTTAGTTCTCTGTTCTTCTAGCACTTGAAGAGATTCTACATAAACTTTCCTGTCACTTGATAACCAATGTGTGGTGGCTTGCTCACAAACCAACCACTCTGGATCTTTGGAAAGTCTCATTTACTAATCTCAAATAAACTGATGTCTCTATTTCTAACTCTTAAATACGAAAGTGATACCAATATAACTCACACACTAAAATACCTTGTATCCCAAAGCCAGATTTCTCCAAAATTATTTTTGGAAAGTAAGTATGCGAGGAACAACTGCTGATATTGGCACAGACTTTCTTGTGGGCAATTAATTTGTTAATAAATCAGATATTTGGCTGTTTTTGAATGTTCTTTATGGACTGAAAGAACTTTAAAAGTCCATCTTTTTACCAGGCATCTAAATCTCGTTCATTTACTTTCAAGTCTTTCTTGGGAAGCTGTTGCCTATAGGAAAAGATCTCTGCCCTAGAAGTGAGACATCCCTATTCCACCTCAGCACCACCAGGACTCCTGTAGTTCACCTTCTGGAAATGGCTTAGCCTCTGAGTCTTGTATTTTTAATCTGTAAGGAAAATAGTGAGCTAAATGTTCTCCCAAAAGCTCCACACTCCACTGTATTTTATAACACAAAGATTTGTGTATGTCTCTTCTTAGAAATTTAGGTATTTAGTCCAGGAACTTTAACAACAACAACAATAAATAATAATGTGGAGGAAGAACAGGATGAGGAGGAGGAAGGAGGAGGAAGAGGAGAAGAAGAAGGAGGAGGAGGAGGAGGAGGAGGAGGAGGAGGAGGAGGAGGAGAATTGTAATTCCCATCAATTATTCAGTTGGGATACTAAATATACATTCACAGATATACTTTGTACTCTTCCATTGCTTATAGGACTCTTTCTATGACTTTAATTCTTTATGACAAGAATTTTTAGATTTTTATAAGCTCTAATATTATCATCCTGTTCCCTAAAGTACATGTTCTGGTACATTTTAAATTAATTCAGATTAAGTTGAAGACTTACTCACAAAAATGATGTTTTAATTGGTGTTATGGTTTGGATTTTAAGTGATCCCCAAAAGGCTCAGATCCTAAAGGTTTGGTCACCTGCCTGTAGTACTACTGGGATTTTGTAGAACTTTTAGTAGTCTGGGTCTAGACGAAACAGGCCATGTCTTGGGAAGTATAGAACACAATATTGGGATCTCAGCCCCTTGCTACCTCTCTCCTCTCACTCTCTGGGTACCATGCAGTAAGAAATTTACTCTACCACTACATGCTCTCCCTCACTACAGCCCAGAGTCAACAGGGCCAAGAAATTGAAACATCTAAAAGAAAATATGATCCCCAAAATATCCTTTCCATCTCATAGTTATCCCATCTGTTTGCCCCAGCAACGGAAAGCTGATCGAGAACCACCATTGCCGTTATCATCTTTACCCTCAGCCTGGTTGTCATCTGGGGCTCCCAGCACTGGCCTTACCCTCGACTGTCAATATGTTCTCTAATTGTCCATCTCTTAAAAAATGTTATCAAAGCTATGCCATTTCCTTGATTTAAAACATTGGCGGTAAGTGACTACCTTTTATAATGATCAAACTCTTGAGTGACATGCACAAGGCTTATCACGTTGCCACTTTAAAGAGTCTTGTTATCACTTACACTGTTAACTAACCCCGTTATACAGCTGCTCAGGGGTCCAAAGCATGACTCCACGTTTGATTCCTAAGATCCTAGAATGGTGGCAGCCAAATGAATTCAGGAAATGTTTTCTGGATGAGTAACTAGAGGAATAAATGACGAAGGAAAATCTGAGGTGCTTGCAGAGTTAGGAGTAAAAGTCACATTTCAGAGGAGTGTAATACAGAATGATTTTGGTAAAAGGTTCGTATGTGTGATTTTCATGCTCATAAATCACTAAGGGAAAAGTAGACCTTACATAAGACATATGAAATGCATTTCTTCCTTTGGAGCAGACCAGTTGTGCTGGTTGTACTCATCATTACTGTAACAAACTACCTGACAAACACAATTTAAGGGATTTATTTTGACTTGCGCTTTAGGAAGAGAAACACTTGGTCATGGTAAGAAAGGCATAGAACAAGAGTGTGAGGTTCTTAGTTCCGTTGCAGTCAGGAAGCAGAGAAAAGGCAGGAAGGCTCTGCTAGGAACTTTAGACCCTCCCCATATGGCTTACTTCCTCTGTCGGGCTCTACCTCCTTGAGGTCTGTAGCTTCCTACAACTCTATCAGCATCAAATGTCCAAAGATGTGCTATTTCTCACTTAGCATGTGCCTGTCTAGTTCTGTGTTGCCTTTTCCCAACCCTGCTCTCAAAATGTCAAGAACAGGGATCTGTACAACTTGGAAACTTGCTTGTAGACTTGCTTGTGTGATTCTTAGAATGGTAGTTTCTTTACTATCCCATTTCCCACTGAAATAAGGGGAGGCATGGTTTCTGTAGAATGTTGCATGTCAGAAAACACATTCTATACGCTATGTCATTTGAACCCTAGCAGAAATTAAATGACATTGTATGGTAAGAGAGCATACAAACTGTGTGGCTGCCACTTCATCATTACAGGATGTTTTTCTAAGACAACAGGAGTTTCCAAAGGTTTTGTAGGGTTACGTGAAGCAGTCAAGGGAAGAGAGTAGGGAAAGCTGCAAAGAGACCTTAGCAAAGCTGCTGTAGTTCATCACAAATCAGGATACAGGATTCTGAAAAAAAAAAAAAAAAAACAGAGGAGGAGGAGACAGAGGGCTAGATATTCAGGCTACGGAGTCAAGGAGCAAGAATAATTTGGGGTAGATTCACCCAGTGTCTTCCCTCTTCACTTCTAAGTAGTAAAATGAGCAAAAGGAGACTCCCCCTGTCGTGGTTTTAAGTCACTTCTGTACCCTCTGGGTAACCTCTGAATGCTACCACAGGTAGCTTAGCTAGGATGCTTTTTTAAGTGGAAAAGAACCTTGAGTGGGGTCACGTTTCAATTGACTAGCAGCCTCATATTTTAAACTACAGTATGAATGGGTGGTCTAAAGGGGATATTGAACA